CCAAAGGATTACCTTCATATTTCAATATGTAGGCTATATAATGCCCTGGAGCAGTCAGAGGGAGTGTGATTTAGCTGTTCAGTGCTTCATGGTGTTTGTATTTGTTTTTGATGTGCAATTGTGGAATGAATGTAGTAGTGCTTTCTAATACCACATACACACCATTTACTAACAAAATTAAAATAAAACAACAAAAAAACATTCGGGTTTGTTAACGTTATTTTGCTGCTGCCACTGGGGAGCATAGTGGAAAGCCGTAGTAAGCTTCCGAAACTTTGTTGAATGAATAGCTAAGCTGAAGAATTATTTTTTTATTTTTAAACGGATGTAGATTTTCAATTGAAAGCTGCAAAAACAAAAAACATCTTGGAGGCGCCAGAAAGTCTGTTGACGTTTTTATTAAAATGTGGGCGAATATTAAAAAGAAAGTCAACAGAAAGGCTAGATAAAGTCAGATGGAAAGCTATTGACATTTTATATCCTCCGAGGACTTTTTTTTACCAGCCTTTCAACAGAAAAGCATCACAGTTTTTTATAAAGGACATTTGTGTCTAGCGTTGGCCTTTTCTAATGACGCCATATCATTCAGCACTACGGCCTTGTTATCTAGGAGGTGTTGCGCGGCGAATCCTCGTCCTCTGGCTCCGCGTCAGCTGTGAGCGTGACTGACGAAAACGAAAGGGCTCGTTTTGACAGGAAGCACGGCGGTGTCTGTCAGTTTGTTAGCGCCGGGGAGAGAGGGAGAGGTTGACGCGTGCTGACGTCTGCGCTTCGGACCAATGGGAGCGTTGCACGCGTTACCCTCTCTCCCTCCTTCTCCCTCTTTCCCCCGGCACTAAAAAACGAGAGACACCGCCGGGGTTTCGTCAAAACAAATGTTTTATTTCTAACATTAAAACAAAATAGGGACGCAGCATGTTGACAAAACCAGGTTTTAATTAACTATAGGACGATTTCACGAAACGCCTTTTCATTTCCAATAATCCGCGTTCCGCCATGTTGATGAATAGCGACCGCCACTTTCGTCATCTGTTTGGATGCAGACGACTATATTCGTTTTCATCTCAAGAAAAAAAATGAAGTTTTGCGCATTATTCATACGCCACGGTAAGTAGTTCTTTCAAGATTGGGTTGGTCGAGGAAAGGAGCGATGCCTTGGTCGTTTGAAGATTGTATGTCTTGATAAGATAACATATATCTAATCTAAACTTCACCTACACATATCTTAATTCTCCACTAAAAGGGGAATATAGTAATGTTCCCCGAAAAGCGGGATTTTTTTTTATTGGGGTTCTTGAGATCAAAACGAGTGTAGTTAATGGCGTCGGTTGTATTTTTGGTGAAACGCACAGGCATTCCGAGTGGGTCCGTCAGCGATAGAACTCCGTAAGTAGGATCGGGGCGCATTATGACCGCATAAATCCATGCTTACTCCGCTATCTTTATTTTTGAATTCGCCTCGCCAGGGCTTACCGGATTCATTATGGCCGCTGATGGATCTTCTTCCTTATCGCCGGCTTGAGAGAAGTCAAAATAAGCACTGGTATGTATAGAAATCGAGTAATGGCTCATGCTCTGTTGTGTTTCCAGCCCATGCACACTGGCTGGCGCAGTCGAGCAATCTAGAAAACAATGACACAGCGCATAAAAAGACATAGAGCGAAAGTTCTTCAACGTTAATGGCGTCCGGTCAAGATTCTGAACCTAAAAAACGACACGTGAAGCCGCTTTACAGTCGGACATAATCACACTGAACCAGAAGCTTGTATGTCGTGGTGTAATTACGAGTAAAGTAAGCGGATATTTGGTGAGGTAGGTGAGAGAACCCATTTAGTGTTCCATAGGCTATTGAATGCCAGTGTTTCCTTATGAGCAGTATTTACTGAAATTAAAAAATCCGCGTGACGGCTTCTTTAAATCGCAACATACCACCTACAATGTCAAAAACATTCGAGCAAAAAAAAAAAGAAGAGGACAGAATTATTTTTAGTTCAAGTTACCTAACATAATGTCCGCAAACCTAACTCGGAACTGCACACATTCCCCACTAAACTTCCGGCAACAGGCCGTGGATTTCACAGGGGGCGGATAGAAGTTCAGAGGTGCGCCGACGCTGCGTTGAATAAACTTCCAAAAAGGCGACACGAGAAGAAACCCTAATGGTCGACCCTGATTGGCCGACCGGAAACCGGAAACCATTCCTTTCAATAGCCGCTCAGTTTCGTTTTTCAGGGCCCGCTTCATTTGCCAAGAAGCAATTGGGAGGAAGGGGGAGGGTGGCGGCGCTTTTGTTCTCCGACGCTACTTCGCCGTGGAACTGCCGGGCAGTTTCGTATTTTTGAAAGGGATTACGGGCCGATGTATTTTCCACGGACGAAAACGCTCCTATTCCAACGTTTTCAATGACCGTTAAAGCAGACAACAACAAAAGCGTGATTCTCGAATAAAGGAATTAAGTGTGAGCTTGCGCAAGGTTCCTCCCTTCAACTAAATTAATAAATAAACAAAAGGCGCAACAAGTTTTTATAACAAAAGGACGAGGAGAGTACGCGGTGGCCTCGGCAACATTGGGGAAGGTCGCGAGGAAGAATGGGGCGCTAAAACTTTCAAACGAGGGATGCGAACGGCGCGCCATTGTTCCTAATTTTCTCCGAACGTCAAGTGACGCCAAATTGTGTCGGCGTTTATTGTCAGGTCGGACACGAAAAAGGTAAAAAGGGGTCGTGTTATCGCGGCCTGTTGGCGCTTGCCGCCGAGAGGCATTGATCAACGACGTGAAAAAGACAGCCGGGAACCGAGCTAAGATTAACAAAAAAAAAAAAAAGAAGCTAGAAAATATGAAGTGTGGGTTTTCTATTCGACAGGGGTAAGTGGGTGATAAAAGAAAAAAAACAAGGCCAACAAATACGCGCAAAAAATAAAAACGAACAAACAAAGCAAGTGAGTAAAAAAGACATGGACTTACAGCATAATAGGTAGCAATGACAAAAGTGCGCGGAGTTTTTTTCTTTCTTTCTTTTTGTAGTGTAGGAGAGAAGAAGCGTTCAGAGAGACGTGGACACCTGAAAGGATGGCTTCCCCCTCAGGCTCCTTGTCGCGCTGTGAAGGTAAGAATTGGCTTTTTCGTAAACCATATTCGCCGTCTTTTTTAAAGCACACACATACACAAACGTATGCACGCAGAAGAACACACACACACACGTGCACACATACACGCACAAACACGCTTGTAGCACGCACAGACACACGCTCATACACGCGCACGCGCACACGCAAACGCCCCACGCTCCTAACAACGGCACTCAACGAAGACACGAACGTGCACACACGCGAGTGCACACACGCACACGAAGAAAGCCACAAAACGGATTCAAAGACGGCACGCGACAAAGAAACACACAGAGAGGTAAGCGTGAACACAAAAGGACGAAACGGATGCCCGCAAGGATTTCTTTCTGCCGTGGAAATAAAGAAAAGAGGTTTCGGGCGCGGCGGACAGAAAAATCCACCTGCTTTGCATATTCTGAAAGCGGACCGATAGCTCGGGTATTGGTCGGAGGTAAAACGGCGTAGAAGAGAAAAAAAAAAAAAAAAAGAAATATAGAGCAAATAGAAACATCTGACGAAGGGTTGGGGAGGGTAGGAGAGGGTGACTAAAATATGGCGGTTCCAGAGTTGCGAAAGAACACCTCGAGGCTTCCCAAGTGCCATTGAAAGCGTCACCGTCCCAAAGATTAAGTCGCCCAAGGGGTTAGCCGTCGGGATTCAATTTAAGTTGGGCCCTCGACCGAAACGAAGGGAAGAAAAACTGTTATTCATCCGAGTTAAAAATAAATTGAAAAGTGTACAGAACGGAGTACCCCGATGCGACGCATAGATTAAACAGATGATATTCAAAATCGTATTGTGCGCCATCTGCGAACTACGCTTGCTTTTCCACCTTCGAACATTTCGAACGCGTGCTCTTCTATGTGCAGGATGTTTTTTTTAGGGATTTACAGATTGTTAAAAAAAAAAAACAACGTGAAACGTACACAATGGAATTTGTACAGGTGAATTCTACGGCCAGTGGGACGTGACATAGGCGACTAACTGTAACGAGAAGTCGGCTACTTCATTAGGACGTGGAAGGTAACTTTCTAATTAATAAAGATATATGATACCAAGTACAAACTTGGTGAGCGTTGACAAAAATCACTAAATCAATCAATTTTAGAAAGGTTTAGAACGCGTAGAAAGTGCAGTGTTCTGCTAAAGTTACCACTTGTGGAGAAGGCGCAAGGCTCTGTGTTAAAAAAAACCCAGTCTCGCAGGTTTTCCGTCTCTTATCATCCTCGTTTTTACGCCGCCAGCTTCGCGCTTGTTTTGCAAAGGGTAACTCGAGCGCGGCATAGCGCTTCTGGGATCCGGACATTTCGGTGTAGGACATTTCGGTGTAGGACGTTTCGGTGCGGACATTTCGGTGCACGGAAATTTCGGTGCACGGATATTTCGGTGTACGGACTTTTCGGTGTACGGTCGCTTCGGTGCACGGAAATTTCGGTGTAAATTTGAAGTTCGGGAAGTTGAACTTACTTGCAGTTATTCGGACATTTTATGTTCACGCATAAAATATAACAGTTGTATTCATTAAGACATAAAGCTTGTCCCAATTCAAACACGGTTGATTCTGCTCGTTATTAAGACATACATACCTTAAACAAGTTAAATTACTTTCCTCTTTCACACTACGAGGATATTTTCCTAGCTAGCAGGTGTATAGCTAAACACAAACTTATTCGCTTGTCTGACTTTATTCCTGATGGAATGCTCTTTCTGGAAAGTAGCTCGAGATTATAGGCCTTCTGAATACTATAGAAACAGGTAAAGATACACATCATAGGTTAGTCGGGGGTTTCATTATCAAGCAAAAGTCCGAAGCCAAATGCATTCAGAAGCAAAATAGTACACAAAATGTAATGTGGACCACTTTTATTTACAAAAGGCACATGGCCCGGGACCTAGAACGACACGTTGCGGGCAACTCTCCTAAGGAAGCGTCGCACATCACTAGCGTCGTATTCTCTAGCAAGTGTCTTTAACCGTTCAGCAGCCTTCGCATATTTCGAGGCCTGCTTGAAGCGCTGGCCCATCTCGAGTCTTCCAAGCCGGTGAAGTTGCAGGGCGTCTTCTCGTTGTAGCACCTCCAAGAATCTCCAGAGAGTTGGGTGCGAGCACTGAACATGAGCTTGGAAGCTCCGGTGCCAGGCTTCCACTGAGTTCGTGGTCTTGGAGCCGCCCTGGAGAACGGTGTCGTGGTGGTTCCATAGCTTAATTGGAAACTGCGCATCTCTTCTGCCCCGTGCCGTTAGCCGCCCAATAAACACATCCTCGAAGTAGTCGACCACCGGGAGAAGTTCTGCGCGGATGGTGGACGCAAGCTCGGTGAATGCCCCCTCCACGTCGTCCTGGGGCACAATTGCAAGAGCTGGGATCATGCGAGCTTCCAGGTTTATGTCGGGGTCAAAAGCATACAGCTCCTGTAGTCCTTCCGACTGAAGTCTGCGGTAGACACATTGCGACAGGTGAAAAAAACACCCGCGCACGTCGGCGCTTGGGAAGACCGCCCTGAAAGCGTTGATAGCCGCCAGTTCGTAATCCACTGTGACGGTCCTTGGCTCGCAATCTCCCCCACACTCGGCGTTAAGGGTGTTCAGGGCTCGCGTGTACGTCCCACAGTCTTTCCGCGTTAGCAAAATGTATGCCGCAGGCAGGATGGAGCCGCCCACTTCGCAGTGTAGACTGTAAACCTGGTAAAACAACTCAGGCGCAACCTTGAACGTCCCGTCGGCGAACCACTTCTTAGATGTTCGGAGAACATCTACCATCTGCGGGCTGCAGAAGATAAGGAAACGGTCCTGGTCTTGCACACCGGAGTCATGCAACAGGAATCTGGACCCGTCAATCTTCGACGCGTACTGCGCAGGGATGACGACGTCTTCTAAGCGTGAAGGGAGAGGCATCGGCCGTTGCTCCATCGCCCGCGCCCTCCTGCATGCAAAAAAGTTGGAAATATTATTGCTGTCACGTTTCAACTATAGGGCGGTTACTCATTATTATTTTACTATATTTTCAATTTTAAAAATGTTTAGGCTAGCGCGATGATAAACTGGACATCTCCATAGCATATGAGGTGGCATATATTTTGCTAAGGTAGCAAAGATGTTAATTCGTAACATTCGTGTATAACACTTACCTTAATGTTCTCTTAACAGTGTCCTGAGGCGGTAAGTAACTGCAAGCTTCCGGTGTCATCTCGGCCACCAGGCGTCCGACGATGGCTTGATTGGGTTCCTCAGTCGTCCGTGCTCTTTCCTTCATTGATGAGTACGCCAACTTGGCCTCTTGGTCCAGTCGGCTGGGAGCATGGCTGTGTTCGTTGATCAGCTTGACAACTTCTTCGTCAATAGTGTGAGCCCTTGCTTTACACTCCAGTTTCCGGCTACATTGCCAGTATGTCTGCGAGGAATAGGCGTTTTTATAAATTATAACTTAGCTAAAGACAGAAAGAGTCGGCGTAACAATCTTCGTACTATTAAAAAAAGATCGCATTTGAATCGCAAACTCAGTGAAAGGCTCACCTTTTCTTTGAAGCAACGTTCCTTGTCATACTCGAAGCCTTCGTGCAGAAGTTTCAGCCCACCGCGGTTACTTCGCAAGTACACAGCCATTTCAGGGAAGTGACGAGTTAGTTTGCACCAACACTGGTTGGCATACGACGAGGCGACACACAAGTGAGTCACCAATAGGGGCGTGTCCTCTAAAACCGGAAGTTCTCCCCCCTCCCTCCGCTTCACATCTGCGGCGTTATGTCCTCTCCTGGACCTTCCTTCCTTTATGATAGAATGCGAAAAATTAACTGGAAAGGGCAGAAATAACTGGTGACATAAGACCAAATGCAGGGGTGCCCCCCTTTTCGCACCTCACCCGCTGAAGGCGAAACAAAAGAAAACGAATTCCTGCCTTGTTTGTCCGTATTGTCAATTTCTCCATAATTCTTCTAGGAGAGAAAAAAGGTTTGTTGAATGGAACGGCTTTACAAAAGGCAATTCCAGTGATAAGCCTATATCCGGACAAGCTATCTTGGGTTGATTGTTGGACACCGCAGGAGCATAACATAGCAGCCGAACAAAGGGTAGACTTACCTCCTCCCTCCCCTGCCCCTACTCTTCCCGCTCTAAAATAGTGATCTTAAAAAAAAAAAAAGAAATCGGCATACCCTTATTTGTGTTTTTCGGTTTAGACCAAAAACTACTTATAGCATATAACTAGGATTCCATGCTTTCGGAGTTTAGCTTTCGTCAAATTTGGAGGTTTTTTTGTGTTTTCTTTTCTAAAAAATCTGGCATTTACCGGCGTTTATTTTCGGTAAATACTGAATTCTCAGAAATTACGAGTTTATCGAATATTATTTCTGGTCAATTTCCAGATCTCCGAAAATGGTGAACAAAATAAAAAGAAGCTATTCACACTTCGACGGATGAAGACAACGAAATTCACTTTTATTGCACGAACTTTACAGCTGGTGCAATCACGGTTGTTAGGGACTCTATCTCAGAGCTTGCTGTAATAGGTGCCGTCATATTTCGTCAGCTATTGTCGCTGATGGCACGCATATTGACGAGATGAGCCTCTTTTGGCAATTATACAAGTTTTGGAAGGGCACAGGTGAGCGCTCTTGGTACCGTTTTATATTAGAACTAATATTTTTTGTGCTTTGACTTCGATATTGGAGTTTTTCAGATAAACCCGAATCAACGAAAATTTTAGCCGGCGAGTGCCTTTCAGAGTTTTTCGGATATATCCGAAAACACGGAGTCCTACCAATAACTACTCCTGGCGGCGGCCCCGTTCTTCGAAGCATCGTGTTGAGCTTCGTCCATGGCTTTGTCCTGAAGCCCGTATAAAGTTTCATCTTTCCGCTAAAGGCGAATCAGACCAACAAAGTCACCTCCTTGTTCGTTTTAACCAACACCGGTTGGTATACGACGAGGCGACACGCAAATATCAGATGCTTATCATATAACATCGAGTTCTCAAAGTGTAAGGTTAAGGTAAGGCAAGTTTCTGGCATTGTTGACCCTTTTCGTCACAAGTTCCCCGATCCCGGCTTCCCGAAAGAGGCGCACGGTTATCAACCTTTGTCGGAGGCGATAAGACTAGCGTTTATCCCCGTTTCTAAAAAAAGATGGCTGTCTTCAGAACACAAAAAGTTAGAGAAGCAGAAAGGTCCATTGTTCTGTCAACTACAAAGAATGAACCAAAAGGAGGGAAAAGTTTCTTATGAATGCCGAAGCGTTCTCTGTAGCGTTCGAGGAAACAAAGCTGAACAGAGGAAGAATTACTTTTTCGTATCAACTTGGGGGCGAAAGATAAATACTACAAGGGCGAGAAAACCAAATCTTGGGTGTCCCTTTTGTGTTCAACGACCATGCACCGAAATATCCATACACCGAAATGTCCATGCACCGAAAAGTCCCTACACCGAAATGTCTTGCACCGAAAAGGCCGCACACCGAGAAGTCCGCACCGAAAGTTCCTACACCGAAATGTCCTACACCGAAATGCCCTAGACCCAGCGCTTCTCACGCGCTCAAAATCTTTCTACAATTGACGGGCTTAGCAGTACTCGATGACGCCCAGCAAGTTTGTCCATGGAACCATGTATGCTTACCTTCACTCATTACAGAAAAAAATAATAGTGAATTCATTTGGGTAATTTGATAGACTTATCGTAACGATTAGTCACCCGGCCGCATAACTTACACGCACAGATCGCAATTATGTAGCCTTCACGGCTTTTTGAAAGCCAATCGGTAAACCCTAAAAAATAAGCGAGGTCTAGGCGTCGAGTAAAATCTTTTCACCGAAATAATCACCACTCATTAATTGAATAATTAATAAATTAATTGGTTTCCTTTATTTCCATGCATCTTAGTTTTTAAAAAAGTCGGAATTATATCTCCTTTTTTGTGAAAATCTGATCAACGACAAAATGTACAAGTTCGTATTTCCAAAGCAACCTTCATGTGTAGTTGTGAAGAGTGAAAAATAACCCAAACTCCCGAATCATTACTTCCGCAGAGGAAAATAGGTTCGTTCATATTCTCCGCCAATAGCAAACTCCTTTGATTTTTTAAAGTAGACTACGCTGCGCTATACTGACATTCGCACGGCGTTGAATTGGCCGGGACAAGCATAATCTTCTCCGCTTGATTGAAGTTACAAACGTCACCCGTACAGTTTACTTTAGGTCAAAACTTCACCTAAGGTTTGCCCTCACACAGGTGTACTCGTCCACGCCCGACTAGTGAGAGCGTTGAACTTTTACCTTTTTGTTAGTAAAAATTCAACCGATTAACTGTTTAAAAATTAATCACGGTTAAAGCATTAATCAATGAATGGGTATGTTAGTCCATCATGTGCCCAGCCCTCTAATTCGCCCTCTAAAGAGCAATACTATTATAATATACTTAATTCTTGGCGGTCTATAAGTAAACTTTGGACGTGTTTTTTTTTGTCTTAAATGCGTCAACATTTATTGATCTGGTGTATGCAGTTGTCTTTCGTTTGGACGGTAGTGGTTTGAACTGGACTGGACTGCTTTAGTGAGGCCGATGCGCGGTTCTTGCCGTGCTCTTTCGCTCCGCTCATTCGCTCGTTACGATCACTTTTCCCCTTAAAAGAGAGGAAGGGGTCGTAACTCTTCCCCTCTTAAAAGAGGGAAAGGGTCTTCTCGCTCGCTACCCATGAAGCGACGCGAGAGCGCGAGAAGAGGAGATCGAGTGGCCGTGGCAGAACGTGCGCGACAGCGTAAAAGAGAGACGCAGCCACGGCGCAGTTTGCGCGAAACCACCGGCACCCGGGAGGAAAGATTGGTTCATCGAAGATAACAGTATACGGTCCGGACTCCGGGAAATTCAGTCTCTTCTCCCGACGCCCAGGAGAACAAACGGGCTCTCGCGACACAACAGTATGCGAATCTTTGCAAGGTTGGAATTTCCAGCCTTCGCTTAATCCACTGCGTTCAATGCTAATGCATTTCGTCAAGAGTCAGCGTAGCGACGGCAGCGATTTCTTCATAACCATTTTTTACAGCGGAGCTGTTAACGGCTAGTTTCCGCCGCTTCATGTCCGGTGCCAAACTAATGTCGACGCGAAACTCCGGACAGCTACCGCACTCTATGAATGACGGCGGCAACCAGACAACCAGTCTGGTTGCCGCCGTCGCTCATAGATGGCGGCACATAGTACAGCTCCGCTGCTGTTCCTTTTATTCCTCACCTTTCACTGACAGCATGAGCTTTTTTTATAAAATCGTAATTGTTTGTTTCGATGACATGACTCTAGCGTACCAATCGCAGAGTTACACGTTCCTAACAACACTTGCACGAAGTCTGACCAATCACTCAATCAACCAGGCGGCTGTCGTAACCGCCCGTTAAGACTGGTTCACACATTTCAGTTTGAGTGAATCCGGCTGCGTTAGAACCATTCGTGACCGCTTACGATAAGAGAATACACTCGCGCCACCTGTCGGATAACCCTGGAGCCCACCCAAACTACAAAATACACATATCAATCTTTTACTGTGAGCCTGATATATTCTGGCAATATTTTAGGCGACCATTCCTAATTATTAGTAAGCGGATTCGATCTACCAAATAATACAAAAAATTCAGTCTAGTTGCACACCGGGCGAAAGTGTTCCTGGAGGCAGTGTTGTATGGAACGGCGTTCCAAGGAACGATGTTCCCGTAACACGTTCCTCTTCAATTCATTTTCGGTTTCTTTATCTGAAAATGTT